GATATACAAGGTCAGTGACTCACTGTGGAGCCTATTATTTTAGGGAGGAACACAGGGTACCAGTGAGGAGGGCTGTTTGTAGGGTTGAGACAGTTCTGACCAACACTGGCCCCTCCCCACCCCCCCTCTCCTATTGTGAGTTGGCCTCTCCTGGATCCTCTCTCTTCTGGGTTCAGGGTACACAAGACAAACTGATTTGGGCAAGCATTCGGATGGGTGTGGGTGAGGGTTGCCGGCAGCTTCTTGCAGGGGAGGGCTGGTGGACCGGGGCGGGGGGGGGGGTCACACCAATTGGAGAAGCTTTTGGGGCATTTTTGAGAAACACCGAGAAGGCCGCAATCCAGTTGGGACACCGAGGCTAGTGCCTTGACCTGTTTGCACAACAACTCCCGCAGTGTGACCGGGGGACGAACTCCGGAGCTGTTGAGGTGTACAGCAGGTCAGGATGGATCAGTGGCCCACTGTCAGCGCTGGGGCGAGCTCCCTGGGAAGGGGGACGTCACACTTTACATTTTATTGAATTCTGGTTCAGTTCATTATGGGCTAAGCCCACTCACTTAAAATTGGAGCGGCATTTGTGAAAAAAAGGCAGGCAAGGCCCAACTTAATTCTTCATTTATGGAAGACTCCAAGTGCCTGTCGGCTGGCCATTTCTGAAATGGGAACTTTCTAAGCGGTGAGTGAGGGGCCTAATACCTGCTTTAGCACCTGGCAGCAGGTCCAGCTCAGGGGGACTCCAGGGCCCTGAAGGCACCTTTGGTGTCCTGATGTCCTGCATCTGCCTGCCCCCTTCCTTCCTGTGTCCTCCCCACTTACCTGTGCACCTCATCCTCTTCCCACATCCTCCCCCTCCCCGCTCCCCACCTTTTATTCAACAAACTAAGACATAAGAAGTGAGCAGGGGCGGAGGCTGGGCTGGGCTGCGCTGGGCTGTGGGCAGGCTGGAGTATCGGCTGGAGTGTGAGTATTGTGAGGAAGAGTACAGCTCTGCAGAGCTCTGGCTCTAGGCACAGGTCAGTGTTTGTCCCAGTGTAGTTTGTGACCTCCTGGTCATAAAATCAGTTTAGTTGGCCCACAGACATTTGAAAAAAGTGAAATAGAAGGGGAGATATCTGATATTGCTTTGTCAAACTTGTTTTAGCCTGTGATATGTGTGTGCGCGTGCGTGCGTGTGTGTGTGTGTGTGTATAAGTGTGTGTTTGTGATCACGCGCTCCAGTGGAGGGAGGGAGGGAGGGTTGGTGAGTGAGGAAGAGTGCGTGGGTGTGTGGGGAGGGGGGCCGCGCAACCACAGGCCCTGGCTTCCTCCTGGCCCACGGCAGCCACTGCCCGCTGGGGACTGGCTCAGGGTGGCTGGGCCACGTCCACTGCCCAGCTGAGAGGTCGGGAGGAAGTGAATGGACGGGGCTCAGGCTGGAGAGGAGCAGGGAGCTTTTCAGGCTGGTGATCATGGCCACATCTTTTAACCCCTTGACCAAGTTGTGTGATTCCTCCAACAACTTAGAATTTTTTGCCTGTACCGAATGCTGGGGCTTTCCAGAACAAAGCTACCGGCTGTTAGGACATTCATGGCTCTGTATCAGCGGTCTGTTTGCTCCTCAGTGCGATGTCCTCTGCATTGCTCACGAAGCTGACTACAGACCCTGTGATCGAGACACACCTGTTTGCTGGCCGCTTCTGGGACACTGTGAGCACACTGACCCTGTGTGCCTTGTTCCCAGAGGTCCCTGTGTCTCCTTAGATACGTGTCCTTTCTCTTTTTGGCAAAATCTTTCTCTGCATACACAGGTCTCACTAGGCGTACCCTTTGGTTTACAAGAGGCAAGAAATAAGCAACAGAGGTCAGGGGATAACAGGGCGCAGCTGCTCAACAAGATGTTCTCCTTGGCAACTGCTTCTGCAAAAGAATTCCCTGCCGGTGAATTCTGCATAATCGCAGAATGCTGCCCAATCTTGGGGTTGCCTTTGGGCTCAGATTTTTGAACAAATGTATTATTACCCTATGGTAATAGAAACATACCCTTCTAATATTTCTGTATTAGTTTTAACCTATGAGATTCCTTGCCCCTCTCTTTTTGGGAGGGTGCAATTTAAATAGTTAAGGCAAGAGCCTTCATGCGGAGTCCAGGAGCCATTTGTGACCTCAGGATTAGCACGTGGCTTGCATTTGGTGCCTGTACTCTGGAAAGTACTTTACATACGCCACTAATCCTCTGAGGCGGACAGTGTTCATCCTGTTTTACAGATATGAAACTGAGGCTGAGGTTAGTAATTAGCTCGTGGTCACAGGTTAGTGGGTGGCAGAGCGGGGATCTGAATGTCAACCACCTGCCTCCAGGAGAGTCTTCATTCTTATCCCCTGAGCTGTAGGCAACACTCTTGAACATCAGGTGATAGTTAACCCTTCATGAATTGCTGGAGTGGAGTAGGTGGGGGGTCCTACAGAAGTGGAAGTCATAGAAACAGGACGTTCTTTTTGACCAAGACACAAACATGGACCCTGCAGGTGTGTAGAGAGAGGATGCAAACCTTGTGCTCGTTTAGTGAGTTAAATAGTTAAGAGCTAGAGGATCGGGGTCTAAACCTGGAGTGGTTTGGCCCGGTGCATTGGCCGCCCTGTAGTGTAGATATCTCCGTCCCCTACTGTCCAGGCCTTTTGTGCTCCTTGGCAGGGACCCGAGAACACTCATCACATGGGATTATAAGATCCAAGTGTTGCAAAATCCCAATGCTGGAGGAGCTGAGTGGTCACCCTCTGACCTTTCTGACCAAAGCAGGAACCCCCCTGTCACCCCTTCTTGTCCCAGCAGTCCATTGACCGGAGACCCCAACACTGAGGGGCCAGAGTTTTCCATCCCTCACCTCGGAGTTCTCTGAGGTCTCTAAAAGTTACTGTTCAAGTAATACATATGCACATAAAAATCAAAAGCCAGAACCAACACTGTGGACATATTAATGGTGAAAGCAAAGGTCTTGTTTCCCAGACCTGGTCTCCAGGGCTCAGCCTGGGGACCTTGTTTGGTATGTAAATCAGTCCCGAACTTTTTTTGTGTGTGTGTGCAGCTCAGTATGTGTAAATGTAATTCTTAAAATGGATTCCTTTTATCAATATTTTTGTACCCTTTCACTCAATATACCTTTGTGGATTTAGTATTTGTGGGACTACCTCTCCATGTTTCTTTTTTTTTAAGCAGGCTTATGATATTCTGTTACATCGTTTATTTAACCAGAGTCCTACAGATATTTAAATTGTTTCTAATTTTCCTATTACAGTCAATGCGCAATTATGGTTTTGTACATGGATCTTACAGCAGTAGGATGGCTGGGGAATTACATGCCAGAAATGAATGTGCCCCAGCGCTCACCTTGTTTATTACCCACCAGCAGTGGGTGATGATTTGGTTTCCCCAGCTGTCACAAACTCTGCGGTTTTTACGAGATGCTCTGAGTCTAGACCATCTGAGAGGCCGCCTTTGCCTATCTTCAACTATGAATGGGGTTGAGTATCTTCTCATGTATCACTGACCGAATGGACTTTTCTCTCTGCGACCTCTCCCTGTATTTTGCCCATTTCTCCTATTGGGTTAGTGTGAGGCCATCTTAAATGGACTTTAATCTTGTAGAGATGGGTGGTGGTAGCAAAAACTGCAGGGTCATGAACGCTCTGGCCAGGGTTTTGAATTTTGGCAGAACTTCCAAGAAAGCAGAGGTTCTTGGCAAGTTGTGAAGTCCAGAGAAAGAGTCTGTTGATTTTGGGTGAAAAGCCGATTCTTCTGATGTAATCACTAGGCAAGAAGTTATGAGACCTCCATTCCCTCATCTTGACAACGCGTTTACTGTGCTGCGCTTCTGGAACCACACAAGATTGCTCTCGTGCATCTTCCCTGTGCGGGGAATTGTACAGATTAGCTCCAGCGTGGGGCGCTCCTGCCCGGGGTTGGCGGG